GCGTGTTCAAGATATATGATGAATCGGAGTCGTGTGAGGGGGAGTGCTTAAAATGTATGATGAACCAGCATCGCCATATGAGGGGGGCGTGTTTAAGGGATGAACCGGAGTCGCCAAATGACGGGGGAGGCTTAAGATATATGATGCACCGGAACAACCAAATGAGGGGGTGTTTAAGATACAACATGAATTGGAACCGCCAACCACTGGAGTGAACCGGAATCGCCAAATGAGGGGTGGGGAGTGCTTAAGATATATGATGAACCGGAATCGCCACCTGAGGGGTCATGTTTAAAATCTATTACGAGCAGGAGTCGCCAAATAAGGGGCGCGTTTACAATACGTAGTGAGCCGGAATCGGCAAATGAGGGGGCGTGTTGAAGATATATGATGAATCGGAGTCGCCAAGTGAGGGACTGGAATCGCCAAACGCGCGGGCGTGTTTAAGACGTATTCTGAACCGGAATCGCCAAATGAGGGAGCGTGCCTAAGATATATGATGAACCGGAATCGCCATGTGAGGGGGGTGTTTAAGATATAATATATGATGAGCCGGAGTCGTGTGAGGGGGGACTGCTTAAGATATATGATATGAGGGGGCGTGTTTTTGATGGTCCGGAGTCGCCAAATGGTGGGGGAATGCTGAATCAAGATATATGATGAACCAGAATAACCAAATGAGGGGGCGTGTTTAAGATACAGCATGAATCGGACGCGCCAAATGAGGGAGTCGTGTTTAAGATATATGATGAAACGCACCCCCGTGTTTTTTTTGCTCGGCCCGCCGCGTACGGAGCAAAAAAGAAAACGCGCCCCGTGTTTTTTTGGTTGGCCCGCCGCATAGTCCGTGTAAATTCCTTAGATTTCAACAGTAGAATCCTGGTAGAGTCTAATTAGAATCCTTTTTTGGAGCCCGCCGCCCGCCGCGTAATCCATGTAGAATCTTTATAGCTTTCAAGAATAGTTTCCGATTATAATTTTTTTTTGTTCCCTATTAGAGATTCTTTCAAAAACCCAAGAATCCGTGTAAAATCCTCAGACCTCGATCAGTAGAATCCTAAGAGAATCTTGTTTGAGTCCCAAAGAAAAACGATTTTTTTGTGCTCGGCCCGCCGCGTGCGGAGCAACAAAACATCAAACGCGCCCCGTGTTGTTTTTTTGCTCGGCCTGCCGCGTACGGAGCAAAAAATGCGGCCCGTGTTTTTTTTGTTGGCCTGCCGCGTACGAAACAAACAAACAAGCGTACCGAGCACAAAAAACCAACTCTCTGACCCGTCTTTGTCTCTGCAAATTCTCTGCTTCTCTGCCTCTAGGCATTTTCACAAGAAGAGCGTGCAGCATGCGCCACCTCCAGGACCGCATGTGTGTTCCCATGTCAGCCGAAGGGAACCTTACTGGTATCGGATTGCAGGCTATCCACCGCCCGGTGGGTATTACCCGTCACGGCCTTCACGGCCTTTGGCCTTGAGGTGTAAGTAGCCTTGGAGATCAGAGCTGAGGCCGCCACCAGGCTACTACGGCGCCCCACCACCAGGCTCGCCGCAAAGTCTTTTCTAGCACGGTCCGTGTCTTGTGTTGTGAAGGCTATCCTGGTTACCCACCTCCCAATTACCCACCACCTGGCTATCCACCGCCGCAGCCTGAAGGTTTGAACTTGTCGATTGTTGTGGAGTGCTGTCAACAAACACAGCTTAGGTCAAGTGCGTATCCTCCCGTCTACGGATCCCAGTTTGGGCCATGGCTTTCTTTCGCAGGGGGAGTGAGGGAGGCAGGGGGTAGGAGCAAACCACATATGACAGTGGTCGGTCCGCAACTACTGGAGCTCACTAGGGCCAATAGGGATACTTTCCCCTTCTGTTGCCACTACGGCTACTGCTGTTTCTCCTCTGCCTCCTGTCGCGACTACTACAGCGACAAGTACGAGTACTGGTACCAGTACGAGCGCTCGTGCTGGAAGGCTGTAACAGAAAAAGCTGAAACGCCGAAGCCTTTTAACCACGCGAGGGGAAGAGTGGCAGTTGCCGCGACGAAAAGGCAAGAGAAAGATAACAAGAAACATCGTTGCGAGAGGCGTTTTCATTGAACCGTCGTTGCAGGTTTCAGCATGACCGGTGGCTGCTGTCATTAGACTCTTTCATACTGGTATGTACTCTTGCATTTGCAATGAATCAACAACGGTGGTAGATGATTAGATCAACAATGATCAGCACAATCCAATCAGGAGAAGACACGCCACAGGGGAAAAGAAGGCCAATTGCGACAAACTTCGAATTGATTCCTGAGGCCACCCCCCGGTGGTCACTATGCCGCGTCCTGCACCTATGGCTGCTGCTTCTAAGAAGCGGCATGCTAACAGAAGTGGGTACGTTCCAGTCAAGGCTCCCGCCTTCCAATCCGCCACCACCCCGGGAAGGCCCTTTTCCGTATGTGTTTACGTCCGCCCGGAAGAGTGGCTGCCACCCGTCAGCACTGCCAGCGCCTTCGCCAGCCTCCGACGACCCTTATCGACAACCAGCAGGCTCGTTTGGCTTCTTCTGCAGCTGTTTTCGATTGTCGCAGCAATCGTGCAAGGAGATCCTTATTCTGCATACGGCAGGGCACGGGCCTTCCAAATCAAGCATACTGTTTGTAGAATAGATTTTGCTTGCAGCCAGAAACAACTTGGGATGTAACATTCCAAGGACAGGGATCCTTACTCTGGCCGCTCGGCAGGTTAATTGCATTCCAGCGATGCTGTAGTATGCGTGCGGGACGCCTCCGAGGCTACGACCGCGACAGGGAGCACGATAGATATCGTCGACCAGAGGCAAGCAAGCCGCGAGAAACAGATCCGGCGACAATCGCCACATCCCGCTTGACGAGGACGCTCCGAGTCGTGACCCTTACGCACACCTATCAGGCTGGTGCCACACACGTCAGAGCAATGTCCGTATGCACACTATCGCTCAAGCCGTGCAAAGGTTATTATGGACCACCTCCTGGACAGCCCGAAGGCACAACTTTTGCCGAGCCATGCCAGCCGTTTCTAGAGCGAAAATGGTCGAGACCAGCGCGTTTGTATACAGTCTCATTGGAGAGTTAATTTGGAGTGGACGAGCGTCTTGGCACAAGGTGCTCCTCCGCCTGCTGGTACGCAGCTTGTCTCAGGGATTCACGAGGGTGCTGCAGAGTTCTCTGGCTTAGGCGTGTACGCCTCCTATGCTGTCGACCCAAGATATGAGCCTAGGCGCGCATGTCTTTGTTGCAGAAGCTTGGTCATCGCTCTGACTTTGTTGCTGCCCTGGAGTGGGAGGTATCAGCCTTACTGAGCAGAGAGGCACAAAGTTGACCTTCGCAAGCAGATTCAAAAATCAATTGGTGGCAAGATGCATCAGTCCAGGCTGTTGGTCTGAGCAACTCATGCTTAAAAGTATGTTATGTTAAAGTGGTTGCCTTTCAACCGTCGCGCCAACATGGTCTCACTTTCTCCGGCTCGCATCCACGTGCTAGTTTCGCCGCAACGTGGAGCCCTGCTTGCAGAGCTGTGGGGCCCTCGGGCTTCGACTGCGACCAGCCTAGGAGAGCGGTGGTGCCACGGGTTGCTCCATCCTTTGACCTTTGCTTTGTTTCCTTGGCGGTCGCGCTCGTTCTCCCCAAGAAGTGTTGCCATGTCGGTCCTCAGGTCTTGCAATGTCTTGCGGGGCTTCCATTGTTTTTGTTTAGGACAGAAGCCCAGGTCATGGATTTGGGCTTTGCAGGACGCCGCCTGGGGGGGGGGGGCGGCTCGGGGCCGTGTGCTGTGGACACATGCAGGAGCCGGAGCCCTGCCTCGGTGTCTCTGGCGTCGCGGTGCCAAAGAAGGCATCGGCGCGACCGCGTGCGGCTCGCGCGAGAGGCGCGAGGAGTCGCTCTTTCCCCCGCCACGGCGTGCCCCCTGGCGTGCCCCCTCGCTGCGGCCCTGGCCCTGGCCCTGGGCGGCACTCGTCCCACTCTCCGTGGCCGGCGGCGCCGGCCGCGCTCGTCGGCTCTCCAAGGCTGGCCTTTCGCTTTCGCTTTCGCCATCCTGGGGTGGCCCGGCACAGGTCACAGACTTCGTGGGAGTTACACGGCGCAGAATCCGTGCTGCGGAACCAGACTCAGTTCTGCCAGTCGAGATTGACATGCTATCCAGTCACAGTCACTGCCAGGCTCGGCAGGCGAGGCTGCACAAAGCTTCACGGCGTGCCGCAGACGCGTCGGACGAGGCAGTGCATCTAGTGACAGCAGTAGCAGTCGGCCCGTCTTCAGATCTGCAGGGCGAAGTTGAGTCAACCGATATGAGTTTCCTCCAGAAGCTCATTCAGAAGCAGAGGGAGGCAACAGAGCGAAGAGCTGAGCGGATGAGGCCGTGTCCAAGCTCTCACATGTCAGTGCGTCCGAGCGATAAGGATAGGCATATGTACCGAAGACTGGCATCCGGATTTGTTTGATGATGTCCCTGAAGGCAGGCCGGAAGGCAGTGGCTTCAAGCTTCTTGCTGCGGGTTGCTGCAACTGTTTGCCTGCGAGGTTACCGGGATGCTCTCGAGGCCGGAATTGACTTGGTAGACGTGCTCGCCAACGGCAATGCTTTGAAGCTTTTGGTGGCTTGGACTGCACAGTCTGACGGCAGAAATGCTCAGAGTCCAAGTCCCTTAGAATGCTTTCGTTTTCAGGCATCCACGCCTCCAAACAAATCCACACCTCGATTCTCAGTTCGAGTTGCGCCCAAACCGACATTGGGACTGGTGCCTAGACCTCTTGCAATTCTTCATGATGCTGCACCCTACTCCGGCCTTGGCTCATGCTGGACCCCCAGGCTTGGGCTATATGGTCCACAGAAGCGTGGTGCAGCACTATACGGCTGGGTTGCTGCGGTTTCCATATGTGCTCCGATTTCAGCGCCGGTTTTCAGGTTCTCAGCCCGCTTCAGCAAACCATGAAGAGGCCCCCTACAGTACCCGATGCAACGGTCCAGTTGCATGAGTGTGCTAGTCTGCGGCTTAGAGGCTGAATGTCGGGGAGATCGAGACCTTGACCATACACAGCCTGGGTCAAGGAGCATCGGCTTTGCATGCCGCATGTGCTAGGCCCTAGGCATGATGTGGCATTCGTCGACTGCATCCGACTGCGTCTCAGGACGAATGCATTTTCCCTTCTGGGTGCCTTGGATGGGGAGGATTGGAGCTTTGCGAAGTCCGTGCCATGCTCAGGTCTACGATGCCGTTGTAGAGGCCTACCAGCCCGGGACTCGGCGCTCCGCATCACGAGGCATCCCCAGGCCACCCAGCGCTTCTGCTCTTTGCCTCTGAGGAAAGGGCTTTGCTCGCGGATCGGTGTGAGCCACCCGAACGCAGACATTAAGTCCGTCCTCCAGGCCCGTCAGGACCGAAGCCGCCGACGCGATTTTCCGGAAGCGTTCCCGTGGTTGCGAAGACTTGTTGAAGCTTTGAGGAGTTGGAGAGGCGGGGTGCCACGCTGCCTGGCTGCAGATTGGCAACTGTCAGAATATGTGAAGCCACACATTGCTTTGAGGTTGTCCTGTGCCGGTGCCTCGGAAACGGGGGGAGGGAGGTGCTCTTCTCTTCGCCTTTGTTCGTCCTTTCAGGAGAATACAGTGAGAACACAATTGTGCATCTTCATGCCTTCCAATCTCTCACGGGAGGTTGTTTCTGTTTGGTCCGTCAACTTAAACACCGCAGAGAGAGGCTGAAATGCTCCGGCTTGCTTTGCTGTAGATCGTAGACAGAGGGATCTAACTTAACCCATCGAGTCAAGACAGGGGAATCAGCAAGTAGGGTCTGCTTGAGTTGTGTTGAAGAAGAGAGACAGGGAGTGAGAGTATGCGCTTTCAGCCCTCGCAAAGGCCCGCGAGCGAAGGGAAGGAAATCATAGCGGACACATGTCCTGGACCGCGAGGTCTTTGTCAAGCTGTCCCTGCTGCAGCGAGAGGCTACGCTGGGGTGCGAAAAGCAGGGATTAAGGGTTTAGGTTTAGGGTTTAGGCGTGAGAGAACTCGAAGCTGCAGGCCACGCAGCTGGTCAAAGACTGCCGTGCTGAGGGTTTGCAGGACTCTTGCATGGTGTTGCATGAACAGAAATAGTGCCAGTATGCGCCACTGTCGTTAGACAAGTGGCCAGGTTTTCGCTACAGAAGTTCTCGGACCGGACGAGCTTGCGCCTGCAACCATGGGCATCCGAAGTGGCTGGGCTGGGAGCTTTTCGCATGATTGAAACATCAGGTCTGGGCGCTATACTGCGGGCAATCCCACAGGCCGAGAACGAAGACACCGGGCCCTGGCGAAGACTCTGACTTTGTCTGCAGTCATCAGGTGGTGAGATCTGCGTGCCCCGATTTACTCCAGCACAGCTCATGCCGTGTCGCGCTCGAGGAAGCCGGGGTGTGCGGGTTTGTCGTAACTGTGAGCAGTCTAGGCTCCGGCCGCTTCACGATGCTTTGGAGGAAATCGCACGGGGCTTGAGGCAGGAAAGGCATCTGAACACTCATTATACCGTCTCGCGAGCTGCATGCAACGTATGCTCCTTTGGATGTTCCAGGGAAGCATGCCTGGATCGAGTGGGTTCTTATGAACTTGCTGCAGGAGAAACAGGGGAATTGGTGCGAAGAGGTTTTTGCAGAGCAGCAATCCCTTCCAGACTCCAAAATGTGGATCGCTAGTACCAGCAGTGATCTTGCGAATCAGCCATTGTTAGCATACGGGTGCCCGTCGTGTTTGTGGTGCCCCACAGGCTTTGCAGACATCTCATACTTGCGAGGGAGGGCCCTTGCGCGGGCAGAGTCGGACGGGGTGTTCCTTGCAGGTCACGCTGTGAGAAGCCGGAAATCGACACCACGCAGGCTGGGCCTGGATTGACGTGTCCAGCAGCCGTTCGCGAATGGCTTTTGCAGGTAGCGATGCAGTGGGTCATCAGCAAAGGTGCAAGTCCACTTTGCGACGTGCGCACCTGCAGAGCACTTGTGCCATCACTCTATGCTGAGCAGGGCATGTTTCAATTGAATTGTAAGAGGTCACGACCTCGAACAGTGCCAAAGCAGTTGCCGGATGCAAAGGCAGATCCTAAGAACGCTGGGTATGTGCTGCTGCTGTTTGCCCGAAGATGGAAGGTCCGGACGGGTGGAAGTTGACACCTGAGGAAGAAGCACGGTCAGATCCCAATCACTCACGCTTCGTGCACGCACACACACAGACACACGCACACACTTTGCTTACTCCTTGCCTGTCGCCCCCTGCGGCAACAGCAGCAACAGGCTGGATGAAGCAGCCGACGAAGTTGCGAAGACGCGCAGAAGGCGAGTTCGCTTGTGCAGGTCACTCAGCTTTCGGCAACTCGACGCCAGGTGGTGAGAACAGCAAGAAAAGAGGCCGACCGACGGACCCGATGATGTCGGCAGCCTTTCCTCACGGCTCGTGAAAGGCGGCTTACGCTCGCAGAGCCGAGAGAATTGGGGCGGCCCGGCGGCCCTTCTCGTCGCACAGGAGTTACGGCTTCTCAGCTGCTTTGCAGTATACGGATGCAAAGCAACAAAGTCAAGTTGCACTCTTCTTTTGCCAGTGGCAAGACGAAGGGGTTTGCATCAACTCAGCGGAGCTCAATAAAAAGCTGACAGTTCTCTACCGCCATCCCAAGCTGTTCACATTGCTTCGCACTTCATTCTTTGTTTGAAGTCGCTCAAGTGCGCCTGAGGGGCAAAGGCACGGGCTCGAGGCTCAAGGCGGTTTCAACAAAAACACCGCAAGAAGTGAATAGCTGCATAGATTTGGAATAATTAGGGCAACATGTTCCATCCTTCTCCGGAGCATGCACCTTTTGAAGTGTGAGTTGTGACCTCGGTGACAGTGACCTGTGACATCCTCGTGTTTGTGCATCTGGAGAATCTTCTACTCAGGAAGGAACATGGGATACGAGCGCTGTGCGGAATTCAGTTCGGCTGCAATCTGAGACCTTCTCGGATTCCTATGCATGTTGAGTGCAGTTGACGTGCGTGCCTTTCAGGAATGCCAGCCTGACAGAGGCACCGGAAGATCTGAGCTTGATTTTAGCTGTTAGCTTTTAGTCCTGGAGGCTGGAGCTTCGTCGAAGGTCGGAGCTTCGAAGGCAAGCGCGTGTGGTCTTATTGCTCGTGTGAAGGTTTGGCGAAGCTGAGATGTCCCTGCTGCGGTGAGTGCTCGCCCGAGCGAGGATAGCCCGTTTGAATTCCGATTTCCTTAACAATACCTAGAAAAGGCGGCAGAAAGACCAAAACGAGCAGCAGCATGGCGACGTCTTCGTTCGCTTGGAAGGTGGTCTTGAAGTCGAGTACGGACATGCTGCAGTCTGCTCTGTTGATTTGGGAGGTGAACAAACCTTTGAGGCACGCTTGCTGGGTGATCGTTTTTCGCGGTTTGTGTGATTTCTCGCGCAAAGGACCGTCATGGAGGAAAGACACATTTCTCAATATCTATCTATCTATCTGTCTATCCATCTGTCTATCTATCTATCTATCTATCTATTTATCTAGCTA